ATTTAGACTTTCTTCACAAATGTTGTGTTTCAAGAGGTAATGGGACAGCAGATCTGTGATTAGAGAGCAGCCGGGAGTTTGTTTGACAGATTGTCTGTAGTAAGCATTACTTTGAAGGACTGAAGAAGAAGATTTTCAATACTGCTGAGGCTTTCTTGTTTTAACTCTAAGCACTTGAGGCAGTTTTCTTATGCCTGATGGTTAAAATAGGTGAGTCTCTGCTGTAGAAAAGTGTTATTTTTTTTCCTGCAGTCAGGATGGACCATCACTTGCATAATGTCTGATGACAGTTACAGTGGAGCTAGTATGTCAGCAGATAATATTTTTGAGTGTTAAACTCTAAATAAATGAATAAATGCCTGTGTTTTGGTAACAAATGTTGTTGACTGTGTATCTGCAGTATTTTCTAAGCTTGCTGATATATCAGAGAAAATTTGCACATGAGCCATTGTTAAGAGAAAGTGGGCAAGTGTTTGCTATTTATTCTCTCATTTCTGTTTGTTGAATTTTTAGTTTAGTTTAGCTTTGCAAGATTTTTATATCTCTTGCTTTAAATTATCCACTGTCCATTTCCTAAACCATGTGTCACGTTTATTGGGAGTGACCAGGATGGACTAGATTAGAAATGATACACTGGAAATTAGTGTATCAGAGAGTTAGAGACAAGGCTGAGATGGTTTGGATGTGTGCAGAGGAGGAACAGTGGATATACCAGACAAAGGATGTTGAAATTGAGCTTCCAGGCTGGAGAAAATGACAGAGACCACAGAAGATGGCTCATGGATGTCGTGAATGTGGATATGCGGAGGGTTGGTGTGGCAGATGATTACGTTAGGGATTGGGTGAGAGGGACAGAGATGATCTGCTGTGATGACTTGTAAAGGGAGCAGTTGAAAGTGGGTGGGTCCCAGGGGAGTTAGAGCTGTCCCAGCTGTCACAGGAAGCCTCTGATAGATGGGTCACCAGTCGGGCAAAGACACAACTTAAACCAGATAGTTTTGCAGCTGTTACTGTTTTATGCAGCTAGAGCCCTGAGTAAATTTGAGAGGGAAACTTTTTAAATCTGTTAGTTCATGTTTCTCTTTTCCTCCCAGGATGCAAAGTACCTGTTCCGGCTGTATATGGCCCTGCAGCAGTACAGGGAGGCAGCTCGCACTGCCATCATCATCGCCAGAGAAGAGCAGTGTGCAGGTGCAAACAGATTCACACAAACATATTTATGTGTGGGCAGCAACAGCACAATAAAACATGCTTACTTCCAATCGTTTGTGTGTAACTTCCAAAGGGAACTACCGTAATGCCCACGACGTGCTGTTCAGCATGTACACAGAGCTGCAGGCTCAGAAGATTAAGATCCCTGCTGAGATGGCCACCAATCTGATGATCCTCCACTCCTACCTACTGGTCAAGGTGAGTACAGCACACGTCTGTCATGCAGCTGCTCGGACGGTCTGCAATTTCTGTCTTTTTGGACAATTGTAAATTTAAAGCTGAGGATAGAAAAACAACAGCAAATGAAAGACTGTAATACAGAGTAAAGCCCAACAATCAGATGATGTCCTTTGAGTAAGCATCTGGTGAGAGTGGGAATGAAAAACTCCCTTTTAACAGGAAGAAACCATAACCAGGCTCAGGGAGGGGCCGCTGTCTGCCTTAAAGGGTGGGAGGGTTGGGATAAAATGATTTTGAGCATGTCCTAATTAAAAGATTTTAGTAGTTGTTCCAGATGGAGGCGGAGTCGAAGGCTGGCCATTATTGACAGGGTCGACTGTGTTGTTTACATATAAAACTACAAATACAGGCTTATTTCTTACCTCCGTGGGTCCATCAAAGGGTCCTGGACTGTTTGACTCTTAAAACTATGGTTTGACCTTTTCAGCACGATCCTGCTATTTCCAAAGTATAAGAATTACATTCGTTATGTTCTATTACTGCCACCTACAGTGTACTGTATTTCAGTAGTCTTTTTAAGGTAACAAATTGTGCTCAACATATTAGCCTGTAATTATCAACATTGCAGATGTGGATAAGTTTCAAACAAAGTGCTCCTGATATCGTCAGAGCTCACACAAGCACCTTTTTGACTCCTGCTTCTCGTTGTTGTTACATTTAGATTCATGTAAAGAGAGGAGACCATTTAAAGGGGGCACGGATGCTCATCCGCGTCAGCAACAACATCAGCAAGTTTCCTGCACGTGAGTCAACCTGTCAGTCCGATTCACATGATGGCTGATAAAACCTAAACGCTGGTGAAAAGCCAAAAACTCATCGGTGTGTTTTTGCGTGTGGGTAGATGTTGTTCCCATTCTGACGTCAGCAGTAATCGAATGTCACCGCGCTGGACTGAAGAACTCGGCCTTCAGCTTCGCTGCCATGTTGATGAGACCGGAGTATCGCAATGACATCGACACCAAATACAGGAAGAAGATTGAGGCGATGGTTCGGTGAGTCCGTGTGATCCTTACCCTCTTCATCCATCCTCTGCTTTATCAGCTCCTCTTGCCCATTCTGCCCCTGACTCCTCATTTTAATTCCCATCTGCACCCTAGTCGCCCGGATAAGTCGGAGCTGGAGGAGGAAACTACTCCGTGTCCCTTCTGTGGCTTCCAGCTGCCGCAGAACGAACTGCTGTGCATTTCCTGCAAAAACAACCTGCCCTACTGCATCGCCACGGTACACAGGACGGCTCGCTCACACACTGTGATGCTCTTCACCAAGACACACCCGTATACTCTTCATCTGATTCTCGATCCATCTGCTTCTTCCTCAGGGTCGTCACATGCTGAAAGAGGACTGGTCCATCTGTCCTCATTGTGAATTCCCTGCACTGCACTCACAGTTCATCCTGTAAGTGGCACACTCACATCTAAAACCATAAAACCATAGTGAGCAGTTCACCAGCAGTGGGTGAACTGGTTTCCCTGTTGACTATTTTTGAACATGACAGAGTCAAATTTG